GAGGAATCTTTGGTAAAATGCTTCTGGATCTGATGTCTCATCACATTGAAAGCCCAGCACACCCTGTCGTAGCACGTTACCCCGGGCGTGAAGGATGGACTCGGGGCAGGAAGATGTTCCACTGAGTGACCCAAGTGCTGAGTTTGTCGTTAATTTTACAAGTGGTTGTTGTTTGTTTGTTTTTTTTTTTTAATTTATCACAAGTTAAATTGTTTTCTCAGGAAGGTCTCTAGTAAGTCGTTAGCAATTTCTTTCCAATACAGAGCCAGTGCAGGGGTGATGCTCGAGGGCTACACGTGGCTTGGAAAGCACAAGGGAATCCAGTCCTTTGCCGCTGGGCTGCCACCTTCCCAGGACCAGATGGGGAGGACTGGGCAGGGCACCGCACTTAAGCAAAGCATTTTCCATGCAAAAAATCATTTTAAGCCATTGCTGCTCGTTTTCTCTAACCTGGAAATGGGCGGTTGGGTAAGGGAATAGGCACGAAGGGGATTTGCTAATCAACCAAAACGATGACAGCTTTTTCAACTGGTTTGTGCCCCAGCAAACCCTGCTTTTGCAGTTATCCAAACGATGCTCTTTGTTATGCAAAACTGGCTTTGTGAAGTTATTTTGCAAGATGACTTCAATGGGATGGAAAAATCTTCCTGCGGGCAGATGTTCCCATCCTCGTTGCTGTTTGTTTCTCTAATGCATGTGTTTGCAAGTAAATAAATGGCTTTTAGCTTTCAGAGCTGCAGGGAGAGCTAAAACATCTGTTCTGTTCTTGCCTTCTCAGCGAAAGGTGTGAGAGGAGAGAAGCGTATCTGACCACCGGAGCTTCTCCTGAGCCTGCTCGGCCGCAAAGATGAAGGCTTTTGAAGACTCTTCTCCCACCTCCCACCCCGATGGTAGGGCTGTGCCGGGCAGCTGGGAGGAGTTTCTCATTACAGGGACTGGTTTTCTCAACCTCTTTTGATAGATAAGAGGTAATTGAAGCTAGAGGGAGGTACTTGGCCCCTGCAGGATTATTTTGGGGGCAGATAAAGGCTGGTGGTGCCCACCTGTGGGGTAGGGTGCTGTGGAAAATGAGAGCTCCTGAGCTGTTTGCTCCTTTGCAGAAGGAAGGAGAGGGTACAAGCACTCGGGAGACCCGTTTTTCTAAATAAGGGTAAGGAATTGGTGGCATGTGTTACTCTGGAGAGGACTGGGGAGGACTCTCCTCCCTAAAACCAGGAGGTTTTGAAGGGAGTCCGTTCGTCAGAGCAGGTGGGATGGGAGGTGAGGACACTGCAAGTTGTTTCTCGGTGGCAAAAGAAGGGAAAACGTAGCAGGGCTTGTGCTGAAAGGAGGGTGGTGTTGAGCAGAGTGGCTTTATTTGCAGGGAGAGAAGGAGATTGGAGAAGGGAATAGGTGCTGGAAATGGCGCAGAGCGAGCGCAGCGGGGCGAGGACGTGGTGTGTTGGCTCCTCTTTGTCCCCACGTTGCTTTGATCACTGGGGCTGACACTGTTAACAGCGAAAAGCACTACTGAGCTCAGATATGTGTTAGATGCACAATAAGAGAGGCTTTTTTGGAAGCTTTTGGGTTGGAAAACCTGAAGCCAAGTGCTCCTAGTAGTTGCTGTTACCGCAGCAAGCCAGTGCTGCTGGTGTGCTTTGATTTGTTCAGTAGGAGAGCGATGAGCTGTAATGTTTCAAGAGGTGAAAACTCAGATTTGCAAATGAAAACTTTGTCCCTGCTCCGAAGGGCTCGGCTGAAGGCTTAGGGCAGGGCTGGCTTGAGCCAAATTACACGGTACCCGCTCGTCCCTCTTAAACTCCCAGTGCCTTAAATGCTTCTTAAGTAGTCGTCTTATCCTTAAAGCCCTTTTGCTCAGAAAAGGACCCTCTAGTGATCCTGTCGTGGATATGGGTGTGAACTGGTACATCCGAGTTGTGCACCGCCTTTGAGGCAGTGCTTAAGGTGTAAAAGGACAATTTCAGAAGCATTTGTTGCCCGTGGATTCCTGCAGGAGTTGGGAGAAGCTGTGAATCAGCATAGGGAAAATTAACCACTTTGTAGCACTGATATTCCCCATCTACTGAAGATTCAAGGGGAAATTTTTCCCTCATTTAAGCATGCCTGGTTTCTCTGGCATTGTGTAACTGCTGAATTTGGCCCGTTATCTGCAAGGGAACTTTCTTGCCTGTGGCAATGTTTTAGCTCCTTAATACCACTGTGATGTTCTGTAGCTTTTTATTAAATATAGACTGCTTAATTTCGTGGATGAAATAATCCATTTGACAGTTTAAAGGAATGTGTCTGTGCGGGAAACAACTCTCTTGTTGGTTTAGTATTAAAAAAAAAAAGAAGGGAATGGGGAGGAAAAAAAAAAAAAGCCAGTGGCTGGGCTGGTTGCATGTAAAGCCCTTACGATATCCCAGATCCATGTAATGATTCCAAATATCTGGTGATAATGCAAAAAAATTGCAACCTCATTATTGGGAAAAAGTCAAAGCAGCTGTGTTACCTGTTGCCCATTGGAATTAAATCTATAGGATGCTGGTTGAGCACAGGCTCAGCGTTGCTGCCTGGGGCTGGAAGCTGCTTTCCTGTGTTCATGGAATCCCAGGGGGTCGCCGGATGATCGGGAGGGTGGGGAGAAGGGGAGAGGGGTCCGAGCGATGGGTATGATCTTGAAGTTTGCTGTATTGTGGTCCTGGCTTTAATTAGAATCGGTTTTGCTTCCAGGTCCTCTGCGCTGTGGCAAATCACACCGTGCCTGGGAGACCGAGCAGCCACGATGCAGCATCCTGCTCGATGGAAAAAGGGGGTTTTGTGGAGCGGCTGTTCTCTGTATCCTCATGGAAGTTTAATCCTTATCTCTCTATACCGTCTTTATCCTTGCGTCCCTCCCTGGGGCTAATTATTTGTATCTGAATAGAATAAGCTAAAAAATCTCCTGCTGTGCTTTGGCACTTTCGAGGTCCGTGGCTGCCTCATCCCTGGAGGTGAGTCAGCTTTGCTCCCTGGTGGTGGCTGGGAAAGCTGGAGGGGCGGCTCCGGGGCTCTGATACGGAGCTGACACCCCCGAACACCGCGGGGTTAAATCTGAGATACAGACAGACCCGTGTCCCCCCGGGCGTGCACTTTATTTTTTCCCATCAAATAACGCTTTACGTAACGTATTTCTCAGATGGCTTTAATCACACGTACAGGAGAAATACCTAAATACCCAAACTGTGAACCTGTCATCTGAAAATTCCTATTTTCATTTTTTGCTGCTGTTTTGTATTCCCCGGTACAGAAGGTCTGTGGGTCAGATCAGGATCCATCTGACCATCCTTTCAGATTTCCACCGCGGAGTGGCTTCAGCCAAGCGCGGGGCCGTCGTTCGGGTTGGCTTTTTTAAGTTTCCATTTCTGGGCCGAAGGCTCGAAGAAGAAGGAGAGAGGTGAGATGAGAGCACAGGCTCCAGCAAGGAGGAAGGAGCAGGCGTATGTCTGGGTGTAGTCGTACAGCCACCCTGCAGGAAAAAAAGGTTGTTATTAAAGCTGTTGGATTTTTTTTCTCTGAAAAAATCATTTTTGGGAGGTGGGCGGGAAGCAAAAGATGTGTGTTCTCGTTTAAGAATTCCTCAGATATTTTCTTTAAGTTATTTTAACTCTTTGGGCGCCCGCTGCCGTGCAGCAATTACAGGGACAATCAGGACTATTGCCATTGGTATAACAGGCAAACTTGTAGGTCATTCTTCCCAGAGCTAACTTCTGATCCTTGTAGTGGATGTGGATTTTAATTTGATTGAATTTAATCCCTGACTTTTTCCTTTCCCCCCCCCCACTCCTGTTTAAATAAATGGCACAAAAGCAGCTGCTGCAGCAGATGGAAGATCCCACTGGACGAATGGGATGACTTGCATGTGTTGGGGTTTGCAACATCTGGGCTGCAAACTCCAGCTTCTCCAGCCTTGCCTTCTTGTGAGCAGACCCAATTTAATGCAACCTGTCTGATATGAGAGATCCCAGGCCAGGAGCTTGAAGGGAACTCGCTTAAAAGTAGCTTTGCAGGCACTTAAAAGGAAAACCTGAATTCCATAAAGACTCAGGAATCTGGGAGGGGGCAGGTCGCCTTTTAAAATGACCTTGAAGTGTTTTGTTGAGTCATGGCGTATCATTTCATGTCCAGGTAATCATTTTAAAGGTGGATAATTCCTCTGTTTGAACCGAAAATGTGCGAAGCGATGGGAGTTGCTGCTGCGTGTAATAAAAACCTCAATATAGTCCCAAACGTGGCGTGGGATGGGGGGTGTCCCAGGGGGGTTAACAGCTGAGCTGGATCATAGAATCATAGAATGGTTAGGGCTGGAAGGGACCTTCAAAGGTCATCTAGTCCAACCCCCCTGCAAGGAACAGGGATATCTCCAACTAGATCAGGTTGCTCAGGGCCTCATCCAACCTGGCCTTGAACGTCTCCAGGGATGGAGCATCCACCACCTCTCTGGGCAACCTGTTCCAGTGTTCTACAACTCTCATGGTAAAAAATGTTTTCCTAATATCCAACCTGAATCTACCTCCCTCTATTTTAAAACCATTACCCCTTGTCCTATCACAACAGGCCCTCCTGAACAGCCTCTCCCCATCTTTCTTGTAGGCCCCCTTGAGGTACTGGAAGACCGCTATAAGGATCTGCCACTGGTGTAAAACTCCTCCGGTGACATCCGTGGATTTGCGTGATTTACACAAACGGCAGATCTGGCCCAAATTTGGGATTCTTTAAATGGGTTCTGGTTAGGAAAGGAAATAACATGGTCCCTGGAGATCCTGGTCTCGGCTGTGCAGCAGCGATGCTGCTGCTGTTACCGCGAGTGCCGGGAGCAGGGCAGGAACCGGTGCTGGGGAAATGTGGGGAGCTGTGACAAACCAGAGGTGCTGACGTTTTCCTTGCCACGGAGATTCACAGGGCTGCAGGGAGGTCTTCGGAAACAGAGGGAAGGCTGGAGGCTGCTTCGCTCTGCGCCGGTTTCGGTTTCTGTTGGCTCGTGCCTTTCTCCAGGGGAGTTCCAGCTC